GATTTCCCCCCCTTCATTTTTCCCTTCCTATCTTTTTTTTTTTTTTTAACATATAACGTATTTGTTTCAGAGGTACGGGTCTGTGATTCATCAGTCTTACACAATTCACAGTGCTGACCATTGCACATACCCTCCCCAATGTCCATCACCCAGCCACCCCATCCCTCCCACCCTCCACCACTCCAACGCTCAGTTTCCTGAGATTAAGAATTCCTCATATCAGTGAGACCATATGATACTTGCCTTTCTCTGATTGACTTATTTCACTTAGCATAATACTAGTTCCATCCACGTCGTTGCAAATGGCAAGATTTCATATTTTTGATGGCTGCATAATATTCCATTGTATGTATGTACCACATCTTCTTTAGCCATTCATTTGTTGATGGACATCCTGGCTCTTTCCATAGTTTGGCTATTGTGGACATTGCTGCTATAAACATTGGGGTGCACATACCCCTTCAGATCACTACATTTGTATCTTTGGGGTAACTACCCAGTAGTGCAATTGCTGGATCGTATGGTAGCTCTATTTTCAACTTCTTGAGGAACCTCCATACTGTTTTCCAGAGCGGCTGCACCACCTTGCATTCCCACCAACAGTGTAGGAGGGTTCCCCTTTCTCCGTCATACTCTCTCTCAGATAAAATCTTTAAAAAAGAAAAACAATAAAATACTTAGGAATAAACTTAACCAAAGAGGTGAAAAACCTATACTCTAAAAACTGTAAATCATTGGCAAAAGAAATTCAAGATGATGCAAAGAAATGGAAGGACATTCCATGCTCATGGGTTGGAAGAACAAATATTAAAATGTCTATATTGCCCAAAGTAATCTACAGCCTTAATGCAATCCCTATCAAAATACCAACAGCATTTTTCACAGAACTAGAACAATCCTAAAATTTGTATGGAACCACAAAAGACAGTGAATAGCCAAAGCAATCTTGAAAAAAACAAAACTGGAGGTAACACAATTCCAGATTTCAGTTTATATTACAAAGCAGTAATCAAAACAGTATGGTACTGGCATAAAAATAGACACAGCTTAGTGGAATAGAACAACACCCAGAAATAAGCCCTCAATTATATGGTCAATTAATCTTCGACAAAGGAGAAATGAATATACAATGGGAAAGTCTTTTCAACAAATGGTGTTGCGAAAAGTGGATGGGCAGCCACATGTAAAAAAATAAAACTGGACCACTTTCTTTTGCCATACACAACAATAAGTTCAAAATATATTCAAGACCTAAATGTAAGACCTGAAACCATAAAATCCTAGAAGAGCACACAGCCATAGCAACATTTTTCTAGATATGTCTCTGGAGACAAGGGAAATAAAAGCAAAAATAAACTGGGACTATAGCAAAATAAAAAACTTCTGCACAGTGAAGGAAACCAAAGAAACTAAAAGACAGCCTATGGAATGGGAGATGATATTTGCAAATGACCTATCTGAAAGGGTTAGTATCCAAAATATATAAAGAACTGATAAAAGCTTAACACCCAAAAAACAAATAATCGAATTAAAAATGAGCAGAAGCCATAAACAGATAGTTCTCCAAAGAAGACATCCAGATGGCCAATAGACACATGAAAAGATGTTCAACATCCCTCATCATCAGGGAGATGCAAATCAAAACCACAATGAGCTATCACCTCACATCTGTCAGAACGGCCAAAATCAAAAACACAAGACACAAGTGCTGGTGAGGATGTGGGGAGAAAGGAAGCCCCTTGCACTGTTGGTGGGAATGCTAATTGGTGCAGCCATTGTTGAAAACAGTATAGAGGTGTCTGAAAATGTTAAAAATAACACTACCCTATGATCCAGCAATCTCACTATTGGATATTTACCCCAAAAATACAAAAACACTAATTCAAAGGGATATATGCACCCCTGTGTTTATAGCAGCATTATTTACAATAACCAAACTATGGAAGCAGCCCAAGTGTCCATCAATTGTGAACTAATAATTTTTAACATGTATATTTTTAAAAGTTTTAAAATGCACAACATAAAATTTATTATCTCAACAATTTCTAGGTGTACATTTCAGTAGCATTAAGTACATTTACGTTGTGGATCATCCCCACTAGTTAAGCCACAGAACCCTTTCATCTTGCAAAACAAACTCTTTATCCATTGTTTTGTATAGTTGACATACAACATTAGTTTCAGGTGTACAACAGTGATTCAATAATTATATACATTACAAAATGCTCACCATGTGTACTTACCATCTGTCACTGTACAAAATCATTATTATTCACTATATTTCCTGTGCTGTACTTTTCATCCCCACGATTGATTTTATAACTGGGAGGTTTTACCTTTTAATCTCCTTTACCTATTTTGCCCCCGCCCCGCCCCCCAGGCAACCACAAGTTTGTTGCTGTATTCAAGAGTCTGTTTTGTTTTTTTTTAGATTCCACATGTAAGTGAAATCCTATGGTATTTCTTTTTGATTTATTTCACTTAGCAGAATACCCTCTGGGTCCATCCGTGTGTTGTCACAAATGGCAAGATTCCATCATTTTATGGCTGAGTAATATTCCATTGTGTATATATACCACATCATCTTTATCCTTTTATCTATTGGTGCACATTTAGGTTTCTTCCATATCTTGGCTATTATAAATAATGCTGCAGTAAACCATAGGGGCACATATATCTTTCAAATTAGTGTTTTTGTTTTATTCAGGTAAATACCCAGAAGTGGAATTGCTGGATTGTATGGTATTTCTATTTTAATTTTTTGAGGAAATGCCATACTGTTTTCCATAATGGCTGTACCAATTTACATTCCCACTTTTTCTCCACATCCTCACCAACACTTATTTCTTGTTTGATACTAGGCATGCATTCCGACATGTGTGAGGTGATATCTCATTGCAGTTTTGATTTGCATTTCCCTGATGATGAGTGATGGTCGTCTGTATGTTGGTTTTGGGAAAATGTCTATTCAGGTCCTCCACCTATTTTGTAATTATTTGTCTTTTTGGTGTTGACTTATATGAGTTCTTTATATATTTTGATTACTAACTCCCTACAAGATAAATCACTTGCATGTACCTTCTCTCGTTAAGTAGGTTTTCTTTTCCTTTTGTTGATGGTTTCTTTTGCTGTGCAAAAGCTTTTTATTTTGGTATTGTCCCAATGTTTTGTTTTTGCTTTTGTTTCCCTTCCTTTGATCTGAGATCAAGAAAAACATTGTTATAGCCAATGTCCAAGAGTTTACTGCTTATGCTTCCTTCTAGGGGTTTTATGGTTTCAGGTCTTCTATTTAGGTCTTTATTCTATTTGAGTTTATTTTTTTTGTATGACGTAAGAAAGTGGTCCAGTTTCATTCTTTTGCATGTAGCTATCCAGTTTTCCCAACACCATTTATTTTATTTATTTTTTAATTTAATTTGATTTTATTATGTTAGTCACCATACAGTACGTCATTAGTTTTTGATGTAGTGTTCCATGATTCATTGTTTTCATCAACACCATTTATTGAAGAGAGTGTCTTTTCCCCATAGTATGTTCTTCTCTCCTTTACTGTAGATTAATTGACCATATAAGTCTGGGCTTATTTCTGGACTGTGTGTTCTATTGATCTATGTGTCTATTTGTGTGCCAGTACCATACTGTTTCTATTACTACAGCTTTGTAGTATAGTTTGAAATCTGGGATTGTGATACCTCCATTTTTCTTCTTATTTCTCAAGATTCTTTGGCTATTTGGGGTCTTTTGTGTTTCCATACAAATCTCAGGATTATTCTAGTTAAAAATACTATGGTATTTTGATGAAGATTGTATTGAATCTGTAGAGTGCTTTGGATAGTATGGACATTTTAACAATATTATTCTAATCCAGGAGCACTTATGACTTTCCATTTATTTGTGTCATCTTTATTATCTTTCACTAGTGTTATATAGTTTTCAGAGTACAGGTCTTTCACTTCTTTGGTTAAATTTATTTTTGGGTATTTTTTTTGGTGCAATTGTATATGGGTTGTTTTATTAACCTCCCTGCTAGTTTGTTATTAATGTGTAAAAATGCACTAGATTTCTGTATATTTTGTATCTGCAACTTTACTAAATTCACTTATTCTAATAATCATTCTAGTAGTCTTTACAGTCTATATAGTATGTCATCTGCAAATAGTGACAGTTTTACTTCTTATGAATTTGTATTCATTTCTTGTCTGATTGCTGCAGCTAGGTCTTCCAGTATTATGTTGAATAAAAGTGGTGACAGTGGACATCCTTATTTTTGTCTTGATTCTGATCTTAGTACTCTAAGCTGTCAGCCTTTCACCACTGAGTTTGATGTTAGCTGGGGGTTTATCATATATAGTCTTTATTATGCTGAGGTATGTTCCCTTTAAACTTTATTGAGAGTTTTTATCATGACTAGATGTAGAATTTTGTCAAATGCTTTTTCTGCATCTTTTGAGATGATATTACTTTTATCCTTCATTTGGTTAATGTGGTTGATTTGTGGATATTGAACCATCTTTACATCCCTGAAATAAATACCACTTGATTGTGGTCAATGATCCTTTCCATGTATTGAATTCAGTTTGCTGATTTTCTTTGAGCATTTTTGCATCTATGTTCATCAGGAATATTGGTCTGTTTTTTTTTTTTCTTTTTCTTTTTGTAATGCAATTCTGTACCCATTAAACTATAGTTCCCTACTTTCCCCTCCCCCATCCCCTGGCAACTACCAATTAATTTCTGTCTCTGAATCTGACTACAGTATGTGTACCATATAAATGGGATCCTACAGTGTTTGTCCTTTTGTGTCTGGCTTATTTCATTATGCTAAGTGAACTTAACATAATGTCTTCAAGATTTATTCGTGTTGTAACTTTAGTTAGAATTTCCTTTCTTTTTAAGATTGAGTAATATTCCATTGTATGTATGATTTTGTAGTAAGTTTTAAAATCAGGAAGTGTGGGATCTTCAACTGTGTTCTTGTTTTTTAAGATTGTTTGGCATTTCTAGGTCCCTTGGGACAGCCTATGACTATTAGGATGGGTTCTCTTTCTGAAAAAAATTGGGATTTTTATAGGGATTGAATTGAATTTGTAGATTGCTTTGTGTAGTATTGACATCTTAATATTGTCTTCCAATCCATGGACATGGACTGTCTTTCCATTTTTCACCTCCTTGAGTATATGCCTAAGTAATGTATTATTTTTAATGCTATTGTAAATGAAATTGTCTTAATTTCCTTTGCAGATTGCTCTTTGTGTATAGAAACACAACTGACTTTTGTATGTTCATTTTGTATCCTGCAACTTTGTTGCAATTAATTATTAAAGGCCTAATAAGTAAATTTAACAAAATTAAAGGACACAAGATTGATATACAAAAATCAACTTTCTATATGCTAGCAACAAATTTTTTTGAAAAGTAACACCATTTACAAAAGTATGAAAAATGACATACTTAAGGATTAATTTGGCAAAAGATTTGTAAGACTTTTACACTGAAAAGTACAGTGTATTGCTGAGAGCTATTAAGGAAGATCTAAATAAATGGAGAGAGATACTGTGTTCATGGGATGGCAGACTCAATCAATATTGGTAAGATGCCAATTCTTCTCAAATTGATCTATAGGCTTAATACAAACCTAATTCAAATTCCAGCAGAGATGGTTGTTTTTGTTTTTAAAAATTGGCAAGGTATTTTTAGATTTCAGATGGGAATTTAAGGGACCTGTACCTCCAAAACAAATTTCAAAAATAAATACAAAATGGCTAATACATTATATGTTTCAAAACTTTGTATAAAGCTACAGTAATCAAGAGAGTATGTTGCTGCCATAAGGTAGATAAATAAGTACAACAGAGCAGGCCAGTCTTCCCATGCATATATGGACAGTTGACATGTGACAAAGATGCAAGGATATTTCAGTGGAGAAATGATCATTTTTTCCAACATATGGTGCTGGAACCATTGACTCTCCATATATACAACAAAATCAATTATCTTAAGTCTTTACATTCCACAATATAAAAAAATAACTAAAAATGGATTCAAATGTAAAAACCTATTTGAAAGAAAGCATAAGAAAAAAATCTTTGTGACCTTCCATTAGGCAAAGATTTTTTAGATATAACACCAATGTATGGCCCATAAAGAAACAAACTGATAAATTGAGCTTAATCAAAATTAAAAACTACTTTTTTTTAAGATTTTATTTATTTATTTTGAGAGAGAGAATGAGAGAGAGCACATGGGGGGGGGTCAGAGGGAGAAGCAGACTCCCTGCTGAGCAGGGAGCCCGATGCGGGACTCGATCCCGGGACTCCAGGATCATGACCTGAGCCGAAGGCAGTCGCTTAACCAACTGAGCCACCCAGGCGCCCTAAAAACTACTTTTCAAAAACAAAAACACTCTTGGGAGAATTAAGGGACCAGCCACACACTTGAAGAAAATATTTGTTTTTTGTTTTTAAGGATTTTATTTATTAGTGAGTGAGGGAGAGGGAAAGAGAAACTGAAGCAGACTCTGCACTGAGCACAGAGCCCGACTCGGGGCTTGACCCCATGGCCACAAGATCATGAGCTGAAACCAAGAGTCAGATGCTTAACCAACTGAGCCACCCAGGCACTCCAAAGAAAATATTGTAGAGCAAATATTTGATAAAGTACTTGTACCCAAAATATATTAAGTACTCTCAAAATTCAATAACAAAAATACAACCCAACAAAAATATTGGCAAAAGGTTTGACCAGCTATTTCATTAAGAAAGAGCTATAGTTGGTAGATAAGTACTTGTTCAACATTATTAGCTATTAAGGAAATACAAATTAAAATTATAAGATACTTCCATACATGTAGTAGAGCAGCTAAAATGAGAAATACAGATTATACCAAGTGTTGGTGAAGATATGAAGCAACTGGAAATTTATACACTGTTGGTGGTTTTTTAAAATGGTAAATATGCACATATCTTATGGTCTAGCTCTCCCAATCCTAGCTGTCTACCCAAGAGAAGTGACACCATATGTCCACACAAATGAATGTTTATAGCAGCTTTATTTGTAAAAATCCCAAACTAGAAACAGCCCAAATATCCATTAATAGATGAGTGCATAAACAGATTTTGGTATATCCATATGATGGAATACTACTCAGAAATAAAAAGGAAAAAACAACTGAGATATATATATATATAACATGAATGAATCTCCAAATGAAAGAAACCAGACAAAAAGTGTACATGTTGTATGATTCCATTCATATAAAATACTAGAAAATGCAAACTAATTTATAGAGACAAAGTAGGTCAATGGTTGCCCAGAAATATGGGTGCATTAGCTTTTTCATTTCTTTCTGTTTTTCATTATGACAACACTTAACATGAGTTCTACCATCTTAACACATTTTTAAGTGCAGAACATGGTATTGTTAACTGCAGGCACAACGCTAAACAACGGATCTCTAAAACTTATCTTGCATCTTGCAAAACTTTATACCTGTTGAACAACTCTATATTTCTCCAGCCCATTTTACTCACCTTTCTATTCTATTTCTATTGTTTAACTGTTTTAGATATCTCCTATAAGCAGAATCATGTTGTATTTGTCCTTTTGAAACTGGCTTATTTCATGAATTAAAAAATATCTTCCAAGTTTATCCATGTTGGTGCATATTTCAGGATTTCCTTTTTAAGGCTGAATAGTGTTCGTGTGTGTATAATATATATACACCACATTTTATCCGTTTACCCACTGATGGACATTTAGATGGTTTCCATAACTTAGCTATTGTAAATAATGCTTCTTTTGGATATATACCCAGAAGTGGGATGCTGGATCATATGATAGTTCTATTTTTAATTTTTTTTTTGAGGAATTTGTTTTTCATGGTGGCTATACCATTTTACACTCCTACAAACAATGTGTAAGTGTTCCAATTTCTCCACGTTTTCACCAATACTTGTTACTTTGGGGGTTTTTTAAAAATAATATCATACCATATATCCAATAAGGAGTTAATTTCCAAAATATCTGAAGAACTCCTACAACTCAATAGCCAAAAATCAGCCCAATTTAAAACGTGGGCAAAGGACTTGAATAGACATTTCTCCAAAGACCTACAAATGGCCAACAGGTATATGAAAAATTGCTCAATATTCACTGATTATTGAGAAAAGTGTTCTTGTTAAATTCCCCTTTTGATTCTAAGGAAAAGCCAGCCAGAATATACCACTCTGTAGCATTGCTACACCTCCCTGCTTCCATGCTGATTTTAACTTGGCCTTCCTGTTCTTTGTATGCCTGACAGAGAAGGGCTCCACAAAGGTTGCTTTGTTTTAAATGACCAGTTGTTACCTGGCAGAGAATCTATGGAAATGGATTGCAAGGGAAGTCTGTCTGCAGGATGGGGTACTTCCCAAGCACTGGGCTCCTGATCAGACAAAGGGCACAGAAAAGAAAAAAAAAAAGTTAGGGCTGGATGATGAGGGAGGAAGAAGCTGGTGTTGGTGCTGTTCTGTTCATTTGATCTAATTTGTTTTAGGGCAGATTCTGCTTCCCAGGGTGAGAGAAAGCAGGAAACAAGGATGTCGGTAAGGGAGTAACCTTTCTTGTTTTAAGGCGGTACTTCCTAAATTTCAGTTATTTGCATGTCATCTTGAAAATTTGTCACTGCTCTGGTCTTTATTATCTCCAATTACATTTATCTTAAAGTTATTATAAAATTATTTCACTTTTAAATGGAAAATTGATTCTTGCTTTGTTAAGATAAGTAGAAGTGTTAAAGATCCTCCATTACCTGAAATTTATCCTGAATAGAACCAGAAATGTTAATGAGTTGAAAAGAAATTCTTTTCAGGGCACCTGGGTGGCTCAGTCATTAAGCCTCTGCCTTCTGCTCAGGTCATGATCCCAGAGTTCTGGGATCGAGTCCCGCATCAGGCTCCCTGCTCCGTGGGAAGTGGGCTTCTCCCTCTCCCTCTGCTGCTCCCACTACTGGTGCTGTTTTGCGTGCGCGAGCCTTCTCTCTCTCTCTCTCCCTCTCAGATAAATAAAAAAATCTTAAAAAAAAAAAAATTGAGATCTGGCTTGCTTTTAGCGATGGCTCTCACTCTTTGCTGCTTAGGCTTGAGTTGGAATCCCACCAGGAAAGTTGATGAGACTACTGAAGACTGAATCCCTTCCCCCCAAAGATTCTAACTTAATTGATCTGGGGTAATGCTCAAGACACAGGGAATCTTTTTAAAGCCCCCTCTGATGATTCTAATATGTAGCCAAATTTAAGAGCCACTGGCCTAGATTTTTGTTTTGTAATTAACTTTCAACACCTTTTAATATAAACCAAAGAAACTGGCAAAGCCTTGTTGCGTGGTTTTTTTTTTTAATTGTGTGCATGAAATGAAGTAATGTTTGCTCTTTATAAGACTCTGGGCTGAACTGTGGAACAAATGTGGGGGCTCCCCCGCCAAGCTTTTCCCCCATAAATATAAATTGCAAATAGGCCTCACTTGTAAGATTCCTTTTAAAAGTGACCTTCTCTAGAAAATGTTGAACTGCTAAACACTTTACAGTAGGAATAATTGGGTCTTCAACAATCAATTCATTTCAAAAATAGATCACTCACCCTCACCCACCTTAAAAGTTGTGGGTCATGCCATCATAAACAAGGGTGGTGCCTGGTTTCATCCTGATGTAGTGATGGCCTTGGAGATGGCTCTGCATTTTGCTATCCCAGGCACAGGGTGTCTCTTCCAGCTGATGCATTTCATATTTGAGAAGACTATTTGAGCTCCGTCACCACTTAATATGTTTGGATTTGTTAAGGATCCTCTCTGCCTTAAAGCAAGAATGAGCTGTTACCAGCTGAATGGTACAGTTTCTATTGAGGCACTGGTGATTTAGGACTGGGCCCCCTGGAGGGGCAAAACAGAGTTCAACTAGAGTATTCTTTTTGTTAAAATAAAAACAAATTCCACGTTAAAATTAAGCATAAATATTATTTGTCACAGCATTTATAAAAACTAATCCAAAAACAGAAAAAGACTTAAAAAATACACAAAGCCAGTTAAATCATTGAAGAGATTAAATTTACCTTGACAGTCTAGTCTTAATTTCAAAATGCTTCAGGTTTAAATAGAAATGACCCCCTTGTTTTATTTTAGTTTCCTTAAAATGTAGACAAGCTTGTCATTGCAAAAATTATTTTTATAAATTCTTTTGTCATTTTGGTTAATATTTTGAAGGTACAGTGTTAGCATGATACGCAGGTGCATCAGCTTTTGAAGAATTACCTATGTATGATCTTTTCAGTTGAAACTAATTGTTGAGAGAGGATTCTTTTTTTTTTTCCCGTCATCCTTTACAATAGCAGCTTGGTTGAGAATTGACTAATGAAATCTGTTTCTTCTTTTTCCTCCCCTCTCCTTACTACTGTGCCTTTTTATTATATGAGATCCCAGTCTTCTAGAAGGAGGTACTTCTCTTTTGTCTAACTTTGTAGTGATATGTTTAATTGTACATAAAGGGAAATAACACCTTTTTAATAGCACTCATTTATCATCCATGTTCATAAAAGTTTAATTACAGGAAACACCTGTTCTCAGAGAGTAATCAAGATTCAAGTAGTAGTACCAGTGAACTATCTTGGACCAGTAACCAAAAAAAGAAATCCCTAAAACCATATTCTAGTAGAAAAAAGACAAGAATCAGAAAGAGCATAAGAGGTAAGTTTGGTACATGTCTTCTTTCAAGTCATTTTTCAAATAATTTTTCAGTTATGTTATGGAAGGAGGGTACCAAAGAAAAAATGATTATGTGATCCCCCTTCCCTGCTACAGTTACATTAGAAAGACAAAATGTACGTACATGAAACAGTGCAAAAGAATATGGAATTGACCAATAATTGTTAAATATGAGCTATAGATAAATGGAGTAGGAGTTCAGATAAGAATCTAACATGAGCTGGAATCACTAGGAAAAGCTTCCAGGAAGAGGCGGGTAGGATTTGAGCCAATCCTTGGGAAAGAATAGTATTCAAAGAGGTGTGCAGAAGGGGAAGCATTCTAAATTAGGTAAAAGTTCAAGGACAAATTGACATGAGAGCATCAGAGGCAGGGTCTAGAGCAGAGAATTCACACTGGTGGTAGGAGCTCAGGAACAAGGTGGATAATTAGAAAGGGATCTTAAGAGCTAGGCATTTGAGCAAGCTTCAGGATTTGGGAATTGCTTCTAGCATGGACATGAATACTTGGGAAAGGGAGAAATGAGGTTATTTTTTATTTCTCATGAGCAAACTTATCCATTGTACACTTTTTTCTTTTAGTTTTGCCACTTTCCCCTCCCAGCAGTGGCAGTGACCATGAGAAAGACCAAGTAAGTAAATTTATCTGGGCTGCCGTGTGGCCATTAGCATGAGCATGAAACAGGTCAATCTGTTTAGGGTTAAATTTCATTTATTTCTCAAAAAAAAAAAAAAAACTCCTTTCAGGATTATGAGGATAACAAACCACTTTGTTGGTACGTAAATCACTGTCAATAGAAACTGCAAGGACTTGTAAAAGTTTAGTTTAAATCTTGGGTAAAGAAGACTTAGGATCTTTCTTCATTGTTCCCAGATTTGTTGCAAGATGTTTATTATGGATGATGCTAAAATCTGGGCTATATTCCTGTAAATATCTGCTCTTTCAATTTACATTTTAAAATGAACTTCTGGGTTTAATTCTTCCCTTAGTTTTCAGTTTGCTGACATGTTACTTCTAAAGTTTTTAATGATTTAAACATTTAAATCTTTATTTTGTAAGTGGTTGAAACGACTTCAGGCTTATATGAATATTGAATAAATCCTCAGAGTTTCTTAATTCATTTTGGTTTTCCTTGTTTAAAGCAACATAGCTAAAAATATGAACACTGGTGTTGTCCAGACAAATTCAAAGCCAAATTTTCCTCTTAATAGCTGAATCACCCTTCTCAACAGTTGGTTTTTGTTTCTTGTCAAATGAGATACATAAAGACTGCAGATACAGTGCCAAGTACATGTGTTTTCTAAGGGGGTGGTTGCTGGGATTCTGATGGCATCAACAGCACCCTGCCCCCACCCCATGCAGAAATATATTGTTAAAACTCCAATCACAGTTGTCTCTCCCCACCTGTTCCCTTCTAACAGCTGCTCTCTGTGAATCTAAGGGGCTGTCATATTCTCTACTGACAAAGTTCATAGTTTAAACCTGTGAGCCAGAGTAAGAACCTAAATATATGTTGAATACTTCAAACCAATATGAGGTATCAGTTAGAATATATATACAATGGAATATTATGCAACCATCAAAAAATGAAATCTTGCCATTTGCAATGACGTGGATGGAACTAGAGGGTATTATGCTGAGTGAAATAAGTCAATCAGAGAAAGACAACTACCATATGATCTCACTGATCTGAGGAATTTGAGAAACAAGACAGAGGATCATAGGGGAAGGGAGGGAAAAATGAAACAAGATGAAACCAGAGAGGGAGACAATCCCTAAGAGACTCTTAATCTCAGGACACAAACTGAGGGTTGCTGGAGTGGAGGGGGGCGGGAGGAATGGGGTGGCTGGGTGATAGACATTGGAGAGGGTATGTGCTATGGTGAGCACTGTGAATTGTGTAAGACTGTTGAATCACAGAACTGTACCTCTGAAACAAATAATACATTATATGTTAATTAAAAAAATAGGCCAAAAGACAAATTTAAAGTAAACACAGCTTTTGTTTAAGTAAGCACCAAAGAAACATCAAAGCTCTGAGAATCCATAAATTTAAGCTATGCAACTGACAGGAAGTCTGTCGCTATTTCAGTGAGGGCATTGCTGACTTTGTACAAATATTAGCATTCAAAATTCACTCCTCTGTGTTGGCATGTAAGAGAATAATTTCGGGCAGGAGTCAGCAAACATGTTCTGTAAAGGGTCAGATAGTAAATATTGTAAATATTTTGGACATATAAGATCATAAATATTTTCTGTGGGGACTATTCAGCTCTTCCACTGTAGCATGAAAGCAGCCATGGACAATACCTAAGTGAATGGGTTTGTTGCATTCCAATAAAACTTTATTTATAAGAAGTCCAGTGAGCTGTAGTTTGCAGATTCCTGATTTAGAGCAGTGATTCTCAAACTGTAGTGATCATCAGAATGAACAGTATGGTTTGTTTAAATGCAGGTTCTGTCCCCATAGTTCCTGGATAAATTTCCATTTCCATCAAGTCCCCGGGTGTTGCTGATGCTCTGTTCTGGGGTGGGGGCCCTACTTTGAGAACTTTAATTTAGAGTTATTTTTGAGTTAGAATTATGAATTGATATATGACTTAGTGTGCTCTCAACTGTAGGATCTCATGGTCTTAGTGTTTGTTTTCAAATGGAGCAAATCCAATACTTAAACCACTTTTAAAGGACATTAGAAATGTATTGGAATTTTTTGAAAACTACTTTGAATGGTTATGAATGTTAACACTCTTAAAAAATACTATATTTTAGGCTAAACTTCTAACACCATTATGGAAAGATACCTCCAGGCAGAATAATTCCACACCTTCAAAAATTTCTGGAACAAAACTTCAGGGTAGTTCTGACTTTTTAACTGCAGAAGATTCTGCCCAGAAAACAGGTACCTGATTTTCTCTTGACTTACATAGACAAAAAATATATTTTAGGAAAAGTAGTTTGAACTAAACAATTTTTTTCTTTTAATATCTGTTGAAGAAAGTGTGAATATATGCTCTTTACTGTCCTCATTAGCAAAAGAGGACATTGTGTCTTAATTTTGCATTAACATTTGAGATTAGCTTGTCCTCTTGCACTTTTAAAGAAGCAAGAGGACTCAAGTGATGACTTATGGCAAGGATTGGTAAACTTTTTCTGTAAAGCACCAGACAGTAAGTATTTTTTTTTGCTTTTTGGCAACTCTGCAGTTGTAGCTCCAAACCAGCCACAGACCAGATGTAAACCAACGTGCATGGCTGTGTTTCCATAAAACTTTATTTATAAAACCAAGCGGTGGACTGGATTTGACTTGAGGGGCCAGAGTTTGCCAACCCTTGTCCTGTTAGGTGTATCTTAACCTCTATTTGTATTTTATTAAAACTATTCATATCTTTTGTAAGGCTAGGGATTTTGGTTTGTTCACTTTTATCATTCTGCAGCTTTAGCACATTGCCAGGCAAACCATAGCCGTCAGTAAGCAGGTAACTGACAACTTCTTAGCTTGGCTGCCCTGGGAGAAAAGGAGTAAGGAAAAGAGAGAGAAAAAATATAGCATTAGAGAGTAAGAGGATATAAGTTAGTAGAACTAGAAGAGAAAAGAAAGAGAAGGGTCACAAGCTTGAGGTAGTAGGAGATTTGCCTGTGTATTGGGGGCCAGATAGGCAGCTATGAAAGGTACTGATTTAGTTGAGGTTCTTCATTTTATCCACAGATATACAAACCTAATAACCATACATGCCCTGAAAGATCCAAAGGGGTTTATTTTTAGTATCTTTTTTTTTGATTAGATTTAATATAGAGAGTGCTAGTGAAATGTTATTACCCGAAGTTGCTTCTTAGCATGTTGATTCCCTGGAAACTGTTCTAACACTCAGAACCTCAAAGTCCCCACCCACCGAGCGATCTGTCATCCTTGGAGCATTCAGAAGTTGAAGAAAATATATCTAAGGAAAATGTATCGAAGGTACTATTTATTATTGGTTATTCATCTGGTTTTCCAGAGTTAATGTTATATTTGCATCATGTACTTATTTCTTCTTAAGGGATTATGTAGCACCATTTGTTTCTTATTTTAACATATATTTATGGCTTTTTTTCTTTGAGGCTGTAGACCAAGAGTCCTTGATGAAAAGTACTAGCTTCAAACATAAACTGCAAAACTTGGAAGATGGAGGTGAGAGAGTACTAAACTCTGCAGAATAAAGTAAATTGATTTGATTTTGGCAGGCTGGACTGTTACTCTAATCACAGCAGATAAAAAAAAATCACTTTACAGAGTGACATCAGGTGTTGGAGAGAGCAGTGGGATCTGCTTACCAAAAGTGCATGAGGGTCGGGGCGCCTGGGTGGCTCAGATGGTTGAGCGTCTGCCTTCAGCTCGGGTCGTGATCCCAGGATTGAGCCCTGCATCGGGCTCCTGGCTCGGTGGGGAGCCTGCTTCTTCCTCTCCCTCTCCCCCTGCTCATGCTCCCTCTCTCTATCTCTGTGTCTCAAATGAATAAAAAAAAAAAAAATTACAAAAGTGCATGAGGGTCGAGGGGAGGGACATGGGGCTTCACTCAGGAACAAGAGTGTCTTGTTTCAAGAAGCATATAGCCTGGGACCTGCTGCTTCCTCTTTGGCCTCAAAGGAGGGCTCAGTGGGGGCACCTTCCTAAGGATCTGGTCCAGGGGCTCTTTCTATCCCTGAGTAAGTAGGTCCCTTGCAGTTTATAAAACAATGTTCTAAAAAATGGTGTGGCCAAGTATTGAAACTTCCCAATTCGTTTTCTTATGGTAACTGCGATAAAAAGGTTTTCGAGCCAGTTCACAGGATTGTGATTCAGCAGAGCACCTAGCCACTCTTTAGGATGTTCTTGAACTGTTTGTTTTCTCTTAACATCTTAAATGAAATATCAGGAAGATTCAAATAGCTGTATATTATGTGCAGTCTATTTAGGTTATCAACACAACAAACATCTGTGGACCAACACCCGGGTTAAGAAAATAAACATTGCTATTTCAGAATCTTGGTAGGTTCTAGCCTAAATTCATCCCTGCCCCCCTTCCCCTTTCACAGGGACCCATTAACCGTAATTTGGTGTTTGATTCCACTGTTTTTATTTTTTTCACTTTTGCATTGTGAAAAATATCATACCTTCAGAAGAGAATGTCAAATATGTGTACAGTTTAAAGAACAATTATAAGGTGAACACCTATGTAACTACAACCCAGTCTGAGAACTGGGATACTGTCACTGACCTAGAATCCTTCCACACTGGGTCATAACCCTGTTACTTCCCTCCATCTTGGAGAGAGATAATGACAATCCTGACTTGCATGAAAAGCTTTCTGTTGCTTTTCTTTATAATGCTTTCTTTGTATGCATCCCTAAATAATATGTAGTTTAGGTTTATCTTGTGTACAATGCAAACAAATGGCATCATACTGTGTAAAAAATGTGTGGCCTGCTTCTGCTCAAAATCCTGTAAAATCTATTTATGCTGATGGATGTAGGTGAAGTATATTTATTTTCATCACAGCATAACATTCAGTGATATGAACGGACTATATCTGTTCTAGTGCTGTGGGATATTTGGATTGCTAGCAGTTTTGGTTGTTATAGATAATGCCACTATGCCGAGTTATGTACATTTCTCCTGATACATATTTGCAAAATATTCTCTAGGTATATTTTTAGGAATAGAACAGCTACAGAGTTTATATATCCTTACCAGTTTTAAATGTGCCGAACTGTTTTTCCAAACTGGTTGTATCAATTTACTTTCCCACCAGAAAAGAATTCTGTTGCTTCACATTCTCCAGCACTTGGGATTTTAAAATTTCTGTCTGTGTGTGTGTGTGTGTGTGTGTGTGTGTGTGTGTGTGTGTGTGTGTGTACAAATTAAATGTGCCGAACTGTTTTTCCAAACTGGTTGTATCAATTTACTTTCCCACCAGAAAAGAATTCTGTTGCTTCACATTCTCCAGCACTTGGGATTTTAAAATTTCTGTCTGTCTGTGTGTGTGTGTGTGTGTGTGTGTGTGTGTGTGTGTACAAATTGAAGTTTTAGTTTGATTGAATATCCCTGATTAAGGTTAAGCATCATTTTTATATGTTAGCCATGTGAATTTCCTCTTTTGTGTGGTGTCTAAAATGTCTTGCCCATTTGTTTGGAGGATTGTCTTTTGATATCAGTTCCTAGGAACTCTTCATATGTTCAGGACTTGGTTATATGTCTTGTAAATGTCTCCTTCCACCGTGTGGTTTGCACTTCTCTGTTTGATGCTCTCATTGTAGGTCTTTACAGCTGCTTTTTGGATAAAGTTTTTAGTTTTTAATTTTAATGAATTCTAAATTATCTTTTGTTTCCCATAATATATATATATCTAATGCGGTGCATTTCTAAGTACTGCTAGAGGTGAGTGCCACATGTTGTAATATATATCATCACTTTAAAATATTTTCTATTTTTTGTTTTCATTTCTTTGACCCACAGATTATCTCTCAATAGTAAGGGATTTTTTAAAGCTATGATTCTGTTACTGTTTTCTAGTTTGATTGCACTGTGGCTAGAGAACATAGTCTGTATAACTTAAACCTTTGAAATTTTGAGATGTACTTTCTGACCCAGTATATGTCAATTTTTTTTAAAGGTTAACTTGTGGTTAAAAGAGTATAATCCACAATAACTGTAACATCTATATAAATATACATCCATCAAATCACTTTTCTTAATTATGTTCTTCAAATATTTTATATTAATTTTTTTCAGTCTAATTGTTCTGTCAATTGTTGAGAGTAGTATGTTAAAACCTCTCATGATTGTGGACTTACCAACTTCTCTTTCTGGTTCTGTTCAATTTTGCATTAAATAAAATATATTTATGTGCTTATAAATGTAAAATAGTATATCCATATGAAATATGGAAACTTTTGTCATTATAAAGTGACTCCCTTTATCTCCAGTAATGTTTTTGTCTTGAAGTTTATTTCTTTTGTTAAGCATTTGCATGGTATAAGTTTTTCATTTTATGTTTACTGTATTATCTCTAAATAATTTTTATCATTGCCCTTGCATCAAAATGCCTTCTTTGTCAAATATTAAGTTCCTATATAAATGTGGGTGAATCTCTGGCTTATCTTTAGCGTTTTGTGGGTCCATTTGTCTGGATTCTTACACTATCTTTTTTTATTACTGGAATTTCATAGCAGGTCTTGATATCCAACAGGGAAAGTTGATTCTCTTCTTTTTTTTTTTTAAAGATTTATTTAGAAGTGGGGGGCAGAGGGAGAGGGAGGGAGAATCCTCAAGCAGACTCCCCACTGAGCACAGAGCCCGATGTGTGGTTCAATTCCAGGATCCTGAGACCATGACCTAAGCTGAAATCAAGAGCTGGATTCTTTTTTTTTTTTTAAAGATTTTTATTTATTTATTTGACAGAGAGAGAGCGAGAGAGGGAACACAAGCAGGGGGAGTGGGAGAGGGAGAAGCAGGCTTCCCGCCGAGCAGGGAGCCTGATGCGGGGCTCGATCCCAGGACCCTGGGATCATGACCTGAGCCGAAGGCAGTTGCTTAACCAACTGAGCCACCCAGGCGCCCCAAGAGCTGGATTCTTAACCAGCTGAGCCACCCAGGCGCCCCTCTCTTTACTCTTCTTTAAGGCTGACATAGTTGTTCAAGGAAATTTGATACTTATATAAATTTTATTTTCTAGCTTTATTGAGATTTAATTGACAAATAACATTGAGTAAGTTTAAGGTGTACAATATGTATGCATGTATTTCAAAAGGATTACCACAATAAAGTCAATACATATGTCACTTCACATAGTTACAATATTAAAATACTTTTTAGTGAGAATTTTTAAGATCTCTTTTAGCTACTTTCAAATATACAGTATAGTATTGTTAACTATTAGTCATCATGCTATATATCACATTCCCAAAACTTACTCATCTTATAACATGAAATACATACACTTTGACCACTTTCAGCCATTACTCCCCTTCCCCTACTATTAGAAACCCACAATTTATCTTTCTAGGAGTTCAGTTTTTAGATTTCATATATATCATCATGTAGTGATAGAAATCATACAATGTTTGTCTTTCTCTGTCTGACTTAGCATAGTGCCTTCAGGCCCATCCATATTGTCACAAATGCCAAGATTTCCATCTTTTAATGGCTGAATAATATCCCATAATGTATACATACCACATATTCCTTGTCCTTTTGTCTGTGAGTGGACACTTACATTGTTTCTATGTCTTGGCTATTGTTAATAATGCTATAGTGAACATGAGGGTGCAGATATCTCTTAGAGATAATGATTTCATTTCCTAGGATATATATCCAAAAGTGACCTGTTGGACCATTTCATGTAATTTTAGAGTAATAGATCAGGTTACTTAAGTTTACTAAAAAAAAAATTTTTGTTTTTTAGATTTTATTTATGTATTTGACAGAGACATAGAGAATAGGCAGAGGGAGAGGGCAGAGCGGCAGACAGAGGGAGAGGGAGAAGCAGGCTCTCCACTGATCAGGGAGCCCAAAGCGAGCCTCAATCCCAGGACGCTGGGATCATGACCTGAGCCGAAGGCAGATGCCCAACCAACCGAGCCACCCAGGCACCCCAAGTTCACTAAAATTTTGATAGGGATTGCATTAAATACATAGATTAACTTGATATTAACTTTAAATATCTTTAAAATATTTAATCATCTTGGTGTCTACCTGGCTCAGTTGGAAGAGCATGTGACTCTTGATCTCAGGGTCGTGAGTTTGAGTCCCACGTTGGGTGTAGAGATTACTTAAAAAAATAAATTAAAAAAGATAATAAAATATTTAATCATCTTACACTGTACAGAATGTGTCCATTGATTTTTATCATTGGCTATGTCATTTATAGAGTTCTAAAGTTTTCTCCTAGATAATTCCTAGATATTCATAGTTTTGTTATTACTCCTTTTAAAATGATTATGCTACAGTGAAAATATGCTATTCTCTGTCAAACTTTAAAAATTCTTGTGAGGTCTAACAGTTTATTCGTTGATTCTCTTGGTCATTTTTTTGTTGTTTTTAATTTCAGTGTGGTTAACATACAGTGTTATATTAGTTCCAGGTGTACAATATAGAGATTCAGCAATTCATACATCACCCGGTGCTTATCACGACAAGTGTGCTCCTTAATC